TATGATCGACAATATGTGTTCTTTACTTCTCTTCATTTTTATCATTTTGTCATATAGAGAAAGAAGACATAAATGTGTCCACTTAAGTTTTACTCATTTCTTCCTTTTCGCCATCGATTCTCACTTAGAGCAGTATGCTCTAATTCTGGCAGGAGAAATTTCAAGTTCACTAATTTTCGTTTTTAGGTGACATTTCTTTAAGATTAAAGAAAAATTTTTATATAGCGGTGTAGCTGAGATTCTGCTCTATCGAACTATGTAAAAATATCTGAGATCTATATTGCCACTATTCATTAGAGTTTTCTCTTTTATCGTATTCTGATCTTTTTCTTGATGTCGCATACAGATCACCTTTTCTTTTCTACATGTATCCTCATGTCTGACATACACACATCTACATGCGACATCAAGAAAAACATAAAGATACGCTAAAAGAGAAAACTATTAATCAGAGTAAAAATAAACTATACTCTCAATTCTTTTTCTTTTCTGTCGTTTCCTAATTCTGTCATGCAGTATGTTTTTTATTCCTAATTCTGTCAGGCCCATTCAAATACATGGCGTTTTCATATCGATGTTAAAAACAAAGTTTTTTTCGCTTACTAAGATAATCAAAACTTTCTAAATTTTATATAGGGACACTCAGAAGACTATGGTGAATCGAACCATGTATTTTTTTCTAAAAAGAGCACATGTTTTCATGAACTTTTCACACGAAAAAGATACGCATATATCTGACAGAATTAAATCTTATTCCTAATTCTGCCATGTAGTGTGTTTTTTATTCCTAATTCTGTCAGGTCCATTCAAATACACGTCATTTTGAGATGAAATCAGAAATAAACACGTGGACGCTACCCGAAAGTCAAAATCACACTATATTCTTGAAACAAAAAATGTTTCAAACACTCAGATCTATCACTGGTAAAAAACTGTGCTTAAAACGATAAAGTAATCGCTTACTTTTGTCGTGGACTATGACATCAGTGATTCTTTCATTAGAAACGTTAGATTAGTGACGACGATAGCTTCTTTTTAATCTTTTTGAACGCGTTAATCTAATAACCGTTCCGCTAAGTGTTCAAGTGTAGGAGACCTAACACATTTGTTTTGCTGACACCCTGTGTAAAAACTTCTTCTTGAACCTATAAAAGAGAGTTTGGAACCCAGTTCTAACATGAATCGTACAAATCCCATAATGAACATTTCTGTTAAACAAAAAGGTGATGAAAATGGTACTGGATAGTGGTCAGTCCAATGAATCTCTGTCTGTCAAAGTCTCGTGTCGTGTCTACTACTGTGTTCTATCTATTGTGTCATTACGAAAATGGCTAAGAGGAAAAAGGTTAACACAAGTACCACTGTACATCACGACGAAAACGTTTATTTTTGAATGCACGTAGTATCTTATCTGATGTGAATGAAGTAATGAGTAAAATCGAATTGCTTCGAATACAGACAGCTAAATTGCAACCAATTCTAATCGCTATAGTCGAAACTTGGCTAACTCCTTCTCATGACATGGCACAGTTATACATAAAAGACTATGATTTGTTTTTACGTAACGATAGAAGCCACAAGCGCGCTGGAGGCATATTAGTATTTATACGGAAAGGAACTATTGCAAAAAGATTACTCTTATTCGATAATCCTAATTTTGAAACATATTTTCTAAAACTAAAAACAACCTCTATGAATAATCACTTGATCTCCGTTGAGTATCGTGACGATACTATCGTCCTGACTGGGTCAGTATGTTAGATTTCACAGAGCAGCTAAGTAATTCACTAGAAATTATACGTAAGGCAACTTCTCCTAAATACGACTCTATAATCTTTGTTGACGATTTTAATGGGCACTGTTTCAACTGGTGTCCATCTGTACCCAGTACGAATGAAGGAGATAAACTATTCCAATTTTCGTGTGTTGAAGGCCTACACCAGTTGGTATCAGGTGTTACTTATCCTGAATCGAATACCTGTTTGGACGTGTTATTGATGAGTAACATCTCAGACGTTACTAATGTTAATATACTTTCTAAACTTTCTACCAAATGTGACCACTTTATGTTACTTTTCTCGCTTGGTAGTAAAAACAATACTTCATTCAAATATCAAAGGAAGATGTACGACTATAAGAATACTAACTGGGACTCATTCCGACGTGCGCTATTCTCCTTTGACTGGTTATCACATATAAATCAATTTTCTGATATTTCAGCAAAAGTGATAGCTTGGCGCTCGAAATTTATGGAGATAGCAGATAGAATAATTCCTAATAAACTTGTAACAGTTTCTTCTAAAGATGCGCCATGGTTTAGTAAGGAGCTAAAACAGTTGTTAAAACAGAGTGACAAACTTTTTAAAAAATATTCCCTACCAATGTGTCCGTCAACCCATTCCTATGAGGCGTACCATCAAGCTGCCGTTAAGTTCGAAGAAGCTTGTAAATCTGCTAAACAGCATTATCTTAATAAATTTGTAACTGATTTGAACTCATCATTTAAAAAATGGTGGAGTTTCATGAAACATACAACTGGTAAACATCGTTCATCATCTATACCATCTTTACTTGATACAGATGCTGACTTGTTAGTTAGCGAGCTGCTTGATAAAGTCGAATTACTTAACCATTATTTTGCAAAAGTTTGCACATCTCAGAATAATCCGACGTTCCCTATATTAGCACCTCCACGTGTTGTTATGTCGCAGTGTCATATTTATGATACTCAAGTCTTTGAATTATTATCAAATTTAGACACAGCAAAATCTTGTTATGAAAACAATGGTAAATTACCAGTGCATCTCGGTGGTATCAAAGTCTTACAAGAATCATTTATTCACAGAACCACTAAGCCTTGGAACGAACTTCCATGTGACCGTCGATCACAGACACGATTTCATAGTTTTAAAAACAAACTAAAATTACCGCATGAACTAAAGTTTTGGCTACCTGTGGCCGAGGGCCGCATGGCTGACTTTGACTTTTTCCATTGCAGAGTAAATTTCAGTCAATTAAACTTTGACCTCGCTAAACACAATCTAGTTGAAGAATGTACGTGTACATGTGGGTTTCTCCACGAAACCGTTTCTCACTTCTTTCTTACCTATCTCTTTTCACTACGGAAAGATCTCCAATGTTAAATATCTTCATGACAGTGTTAAAGGTCAACATAATCCAGTTAAACCATATTCTCTTTAGAAATCCAATCTTTTCTCTTATGAATAAACGTGGCTTATTCATATTATGTAATAGTGTATTAGACTTCATAAAAACGAAAAAACGTTTCCGTCCGTGATGTGGTTGTACTTGACCTGCTTTTATTGTTCTGTAGTAGACACGCTCAGGTCGAAATTGATAGAGATCCGTTGATAACATTCTAACATGATAAATGAGTCCTTAGAACTTACTCTCCCTTGTCCTAGAATAGTTTGCTTGTTCTTTCTCTAATATATTATCAGCTATTCTTTCTCTTCTCTTTTTAGCAATTAACTGTATTTCTCTTTTGATCAAATTGTCACAACATGTAATGAACATAGCTCGATTTGTTGTTTAATAAACTTAGTTTAAATTAAAAGCAGATCTAAAAAAAAGTTTCACTTTGATTGGTTTGGACGTTTTTCCCGAAGTCCTGAGACCGTTATATTCGTCGTTCTGCGACCTTCTGAAATCATGAAAACGTAGGTTATCGAACACACTGAATCTCATGGCAATGTTAATTTTCAGAAGAAAGTGCAAGAACGAGTGAAAACCTGTACTACGTGAAATAACCCATTCCGGGCCCTTTTCATAAAAAATTAAAAAATTTATAACTCAGTCAAAATGCAATTCTTTTAAAAACAAAATTTGCAGTTTTGTAGCGCTCGAAAAGCTAATTCGAATGATATATCGTGTGATTATTTTCAAAGAACTGTTGATTTGCAAATAAAAATGTAAATCGCTGAACTGTCCGTAATCGGTGTTAATTAGGATTAATTAATTATTAATCTATATCCCAGTATAGCTTTTTCTGAAATATCTTAAATACCATCATAACTAAAAATGATTCTCGATCAAAGTACACTAGAATCACGTTTTTATAATTAGTTTTGATTAAAGAATTAAGTTTTTAAAAAAGGGTCCAGCAATTAAATTTTTTGCAAAAGTTTTATCTTAATTAGTTTATAACTCCGCGAATACTTATCAGATCTCCGACAACAATGCAGGATATATTCAGTCAAGTATTCTCTACAATCTGAGAAAATCAGTAGTATCTTTTGTGGGGATCTGCCCCTTCTTAATTAGTATCAGTGAATTTCCCGGGAGTCGCTTTCGATTAACCATAATTATTCCATTTAGGGTAATAATGATCAGTAAACATGTACCGTTGAGATGATTTTTAATTTATTTGCTGAAAATAAGTAGCTTCTTGCATGCTACTTCACAACGATTTTATGGTTCACAACAGTTCGCATTTAGATTGCTTACATGTATGCCTTGCGTTTGTAATTGTTTCTACGCTTCGGAGAACGAACGACTCCCATTGCTGTATGTAGTAATCCAAATTTGTATGAGTGGAAAAGAGTTGATGAATAGGATGTGAGCAGCGCCCAACTACCTCATCATAGTCAATACAACAAAAATACTTACGATAACCTTCACAACTTATTTTCAAGGGAAAATCACTTAATGAGTTCAAGATACCGTCATAAGACTGAGATCACTATCTAGAAAAAATGAACTGAATTGAAAAGCATTCTTTAAAAATCATTGGGGGATATGTTTGATTGTTGAACTGTACAAAGCATGAGTGATTAGCATAATCATTGTACTAATGCTGCTCTTGGGATGTTTTTCTTGAAAAAATTAATTTTGCTGGATCAATATCGATAATTCTTTTAAAGTCTGTTTATTTAAGGTTTAGTACTCACTTGTGAAAATATCGATTTGATTTCAACTTTATTTACCGAAATATGAACCCTGCATCGAAAATTTTGCATGATTTTGATGGCATTGAGTTAAAGAAAAACCATGTGTTCCGAAATATATTTAAACGATTTTCTTTGTAACTGATGTTCTAAAGTTTTGGAATACAAAAAATTTTCTGTACAAACTATCTAAAATACAATGGTCACAAACACTCTTTAATTTTTTGTCCACTCAGATTAAAAGTTATCCCCAGTACATCGTTTGCGACAGAAAACCACTTCCAAATACGCCAAAATATAGAGAAGGAGTAGCCAGACATTGTAAACTTACTTGTTAACTTTTAATTTGGATGGTCAACATTTTTATAGAGGTGGCCTGTCGAGTATTAAACAACAGACATAACCCGTGAGTTCTTGTTATACAGAAAACGTATAGAACCTCTGTCTTCAAATACAAGCGTTACCATACCGACTTACATTTTCACCAAGCTGCTTCTTTATGTAAACAAAACACTATTGAAAATAGATCAAACTTCGGTGACTTTCAGCGTTCTTCAAAACGCTATCAAATCATAAAATAGATTTAAAAAATGAAAAATATCATGACAATGAAGTGTTTGTGGAATCACTCAAAACATCATTGCTCGCGTTTGAAAGAAAGAGTTTTTAATCAGCACTTATCTTAATCTGTATTATTCATCATATTCTGTATTTTGTATTTTCTCCGAAACACATAATAGAATAGCTTTTAAGTCAATATTTCTCTACTTCTCAAAGATCAGAATGACTTACTAATAGATAAGGAAGATTTAAAATAACACTAATGACAGAAGTAATAAATGATATAAGTAGTATGCAAGGTTCAGCGAGCACACTGCATTCTTAAAACATTCCAACAATCAACAGCTAAAAGAAAAAGATGAAATTACGTCTAATTCATCTATTCATTTTATTAACTGTTGGTACATGAACATAGACAGCTTTTAAAAAAAACACTTTATTTGGTCTTATTGTTGAGTTCACAATAGGTGCTAGCATCTATGGTTAAAATCAAAATATTACTTAAAAGCTTTTACAAGTTCTGTCATCTTGATCAACTCATTTGCAGACAAATTGTTCAAAGGTTATCTAGGTTCAGGCGGAACGTATCTTGCAAAATTTGCACACGGTTTGGATAAAAATTAAATACGGGCAATTAATATACTTGTTGATGATATTTGGAATCATGTAGTCTCAAATTCATATTCATCAAATTTAGATATACGAGTTCTTTACAGTTACTATTGTGATAATACTTATATACAAATTGTAGCACCAAATAATGGTAATTCTGCAACAGCCATTGTAGGGCTGTGACAGTTACCAGTTACCGTTACCACCGTTACTCGGTAACGGTAACTGCTGAACAGTTACCGTTCCTGGTAACGGTAACGGATAAGCAGTTACCGTACAAGTAACGGTAACAACCAGTTACAAGTAACTCAGTATATCTTTCAAGAGTCAAATCTCTAAATATCTAGGCGCTCTGTTTTAGCTTTACACATAAATATTATGAACTTAATGTTCGACAGAATGTCAAGGACTACCAGTGTCGATTTCGGAGGTCGATAAGTGTACACTTTGACATGGTGTAGTAAGGTACGTAGCAAATAAAAGAAAGGAAGACGGCTATGCATATTAAAATTGAGATATTTTCTTTTTGAAACGGTGAAAGCTAATTTGTTTGATGTATAAAATTTACATGCATGAATGTGCTGAGATTAGTGTCTTTTAAATGCAAGTATTTTATTCAATTTATCAGAGCGTTCATTGTTTATACTACGTCCTAATAGTGCACGGTGAAGAAAAATTCTGATGTTTTGATGAAAATTCATCAAAAAGAATTATTTTGTGGACGAAAAATGCAACCTTTCCTTCTCGGAGGTTTGATATGATGCAAAGAAAATTGACTGATACACCTTCTCTCTAAACCCGGCGCTTCACAATCTTCTTAAAAAAAATATTGTCTTCACTGCGTCTAACATTATAATAAATATTGAAGAATAAATATTAAAGTTAGAAAATAATTCTAAAATTACAACTAGATAATTGAGTAGATTAAACATTTCTCTATAAAATGAAAATTATCTCGGCTCTGAACGGTGATTCGTTATGAAAATACAGCTGTTGTACAAACAGCCCCAAAAATCAATGTTGAGGCTATCTAAAAAGCGAGTCTAAAAGAGTGAAGACGAGCTTGCAAAAATTGAACAAGTATACCAGTTTATAGAAAATTGTTTGCTTGTTTGCCTTCAGAACTCGTCTTGCGGGACAAAATAGAAGACCAGCTGGCCTTCTATTATGAGGGAGGGGGCGGGTATTCCAATTATTTTCTTAATAGATGAATGCAAGGAGGTAAATAAATATGCAGAAAGATAGAGAACTTCAAGCTCTATCAAAATGTATGATTGCTTGTTCTTAAAAATGATTCTATAATGAAGAAAGTTCGAAAAACTAGTTTTGAAAACAACGAAAAAATCAAGTCTCTGGGAATCTGAACATGAGAGTGCCGTCATTGTACTCAATTTTTTTCGATAATTCATAAGTTGAAATGAAAACCAAAATATACAGGGTTGTAGAAAACTTCAGGGGCTTTCAGAATATGTAGTTACTTTTAAAAAAACATGTTTTTATAGTGACGGACTGCTCTAAATATGGAGTCTAACTATTCTTTTCTGGGCGTATATAAGTTACAAGTACTTCGAAATCACCTACGAGATTAAGATTTCGATATTTATCGACTATGTCTTTTTTACAAAGTAATAAAAGGACAAGTACCCCTTAGAGATTTACTACCGCAACAGACACCTGTAAGTTATTCTTGCGCAGCCAGGCACGAGGACTGCTACCGTTTCATCACGGTGGTCTACTTGTACTTAGGAATCGTTTTATACCATCTACCATTCAACTATAGAACAGCTTACCAATCGATGTAAAAAATTCGAAAAACTCAGCAATATTTAAATTTAAAATGAAACAACCGTTTTTACAGATATTGAATCTCCCACCTGTGACCGACAGAGTTTTGGAAATAGACTTTTCACGTTTTCGATTGGGTTTCACACAGTTGAATGAGGAATTGGCTAAAAGACATTTAGTAGCTGCCCCCGAGTGTGAGTGCGGATATAAAGGCGAATCATCATCTCACTTTTTCCTTTTTTGCGCAAAGTATATAGCACAACGTTCAGAACTGTTAAAGACGTTTCAATCTATACTACAAATAACCGATATAACAATAGATCATTTACTTTTTGA